GAGCGCCAGCTGCCCCCTACCCCCTGCCCCGTGTCAGAGCCTTCGGTTATGTCTGAGGGAAGGCAGTGAGAGGGCTTCTGGAGAGGGTGGCCATCCCGCCACCCACCTCCCCCATCCACCTCAGCGCGTCCTGGCCATGAAGATGCCCTGAGTCCTGGTCATGACAAGAATGCTATCCCAGCCTGGGTGTGCCACCCTGCGGCCTTCTGACTGCTTTGCCCGTCCCAGTGGTGACTACCTGGTGAATCTGCCAGTCAGCACTCTCGGCTCCTTTGCATTTTCTTTGGGGGACGCAGGACCTCCTACATGCCCTGCATGACTCGTACGGCCAGCTTAGATGCATCTCTCGGGACCCCTTTCTTGGTCATCTCTAATCTGCTGTCCTGTCCCTTGTAGGATGTGGCCCCACAGGGGCTTTCCTTTGCTGAGGGGCTTGCAAGTTTTCCAGGTTCACACCCTGAGAGCCAAGCGCAGGATCCTGCATGGGGGTGGGGGAGGCGCCCAAACCGCTCCAAGCACTTCTGCCCCTAAACACACTTGTTCCTCTCGTCTTGGCCCGGCAGCAGGCAGAGAGCTGCAGCAGGACACTCACAGCTGACCCTTTGTCCTCACCTCCCAGCCTCTCCTGCTCCTCTCCCAGAATGCACAGGGTTTTTCCCTTTCTCGTCTATCCAGTGGGAGCTTCTCTAACAACCCTCACTTCTATATCCCTCCTGGCTTAGCCTCATCAGCACTTCGGGGAAAGGAAAAGTTTGGATGACATCAGGGGAGATTTGAAAACCATCCACCGCACTGCACAGAAAACTCAGTCATCTGGAGCAGGGGACGAGCTGGGACCTGGAGCCAAGGAACTGGGTGAGGTCCCGTCACTGCCCCTCCCTGGCTCTGTCGTTTCTGGGCTGAAAGTGCGTGTGCAAAGTCAGCGCTGTGGGAGCAGGTGGGCTAGGCCAGCTTGAGGGCTCTAGTCACTGTCTCCTGTATTCAGGGGCCACAGCAGTGCCGTGGGATCTTCGGGGTCTCAGCTCCCTTGGCTCCTTTTTGAGGAGGTCAAGGACCTGGTCACATGGGCTCCCAGGAGCCCTGTTCCAACAGGAGGCTCCGTCCTGGCTCAGCCTTACATCAAGTGCTGGAACAGAGCAACCCGAACTCAGATCCCGGGCTCCTAAAGAGAGGCCATCCGTCTGCCACACTGACTGGCACACAGAGAACCCCACTGTGGAGAGAGAGGAGGGAGGGATTGAGAAGCAGAGCCAACGAGCGGAGGGGAAGACGCCCAGCCTCTGACTCCAGCCCACCTGGTGGCCCAATGGAGTCCCCAAGTTGGGATCCGAGATAATACGCAGTGGAGTGTTCAAAGCAAGGGAGGCACCTGGTCCCTGGGGAGTAAAAACAGTGATGACAGCACCCCCATTTACCAGGCGACTCCACACACCCTGGCTCTCACGAGGGTGACAGCCCTCCTGGCCACCAGCCACTGTGCCCCCTTTCTCAAGCGCCTCCTGTGGGACTCTTCCCTGTGGATGGAACCTCAGCCGATAGCGAATCAAGTTGCCACCCAGGCGCGGCACAGCAGTGCTAGAGCCTGCTGGGCCCTTCCCGCCCATCTAAGACCCTCTCATCCTAGGCCTGCTCCCTGAGGTGCCAGGCACTGAAGGCTCCCCTAGGCAGCTGTGGCAGCGATAGTGTCATTAGGCTTCTTCAGAGACAAGCCTCTCCCAAGGAAGCCGGGCTGCCAAGGCCCCGGGGCCAGGGGCAGCACAAGGGACAGGTGCCCTCAAGGTCCCCTACCCAGCCCTGCCCCAGGGAAGACTCTGGTCTTTTCCTCGTACTCTTCTGGTCTGTGACCTCACCACTCCTCAGGCCTCTTCCTGCGGACGGTTCACCAACTAGAGAGAAGAAAAATTGGCCAGAAAGACTTCCTTCAAAGATGCATTTCAGGAACCTACGCAGTGGCTGAGGCTCGGGAATATGGATTTTAAGGAACACTCTTGTCTAGCTATCTTTCTGTACGGTTTTTTTGTTTTTCATTGTGGAAAATATATACAATGTCAAATTCACCATGTAACCATTTTTAAGTGACGGTTATAATTTCCAGTTCACCATGTAACCATTTTTAAGTGACGGTTAGGTGCGATCATTGCGGCGTTGCCTCATCCCGGCTATAACTCTGAAGCCGCTAAACAGTAACCCCCACTCCTGCTCTCTCCAGTCCCTGGGCCACCATTCTGCGTTCTGTCTCTGAGTTTGACTACTCTAAGAACCTCCTATCAGTGGAATCATGAAGTGATTAACTGGCTTATTCTCCCCGGCATAATGTCATCAGGGTTCACCCTTGTTCTAGTATTTATTAGAATTTCCTTCCTTTTTTTTTCTCTTCCTTTTTTAATGTGAGAGGGAGGATGCAGATACATGAGAGATAGTGAGAGAGAGAGAGAGAGAGCACCTTGCAACGAGACCTGATAACGTCACAATGCAATCCATTTTTCTTCCAATCTTTTCAGGATCCTGGAAAAATGCACGTGTGCCGAGTGCGTTTTTCAAGCTGCAGGGGCTGGAGCTTGCGCCTTGGCCAGCCAGGTGGGAGCCAGGTTCCTTTGCACAGTGTCTAACCATTGCATTATGGGGCCAACCCTCTTTCCTATTTTTTTTTTTAAGTTTTTTGTCATAGGCTGTGTGTGCTCACCCGAGAGAGACAGAGACTAAGAGCTGGAAAGTGAGAAATCGTCCCCTCAGGGGGGATGGCCACGCTGCACTCCTTTCTCCTCCCTTCTCCTCTCAGGACTTTAGACACGCACACACACGTGCACCCGGTGTAACTTTCTAGCTGCCAGATCCAGGGCTTGGACCATGGTGGACCATGTGGGAATCTAGCACCTTAATTACCAGGCCACCTGCTGCCCCCC